GTCTCTGTCTCTCGTCTCTCTCTCTCTCTCTCTCGTCTCTCTCTCTCTCTCTCTCTCTCTCTCTCGTGATTGACTTCTATCTCTTTCTCTACTGTTTAAAAGTTTTACTATTGCAAGTTCAAAAATCTTGTAGCAAGTGCTAGCTAAACTTGATGTTACACGCTAACATTGGTTCTGATAGATCACCAGTGTGTGCATGCATGTGTGAGTGTATGCATGACCGTGTATGCTTTATGGCCTTTCCGTTTGCGTGAGGTAACCACTCCCTACCCCCTTGATATTGTTGCTAAAAGTAGATCCATAAAATTCACCCAGGCTCAGTGTGTATATGTTTTACCCTATGGTTTTCGCGCATAAATGCCAGCATAAACTTTGCGACACTTCGTTTCCAAGCATTGTCTTTAGAACATCCCAGTCATGGCTCTGATTGGCTACAGCTGCCAAGTCAGACGGTTTCATCAATTACTCACACATTCTCCAAGCCGGCACCAATGTCAAACAATATCTCAGTGGGTGTGCGCATTTTGTACGGGTGGATAGGTGAATTATTGTGGGTTTCTGCCTGTAGGGATGGTGAGAAGTGGCACGTTCAAAGGCGAGCAATCAGTCCTTATATGATGCAGCCGCGCTACGTCGCAACCTACACACATGACCTCAACGACACGGCTCTGGACGCTGTAGACCTGCTACGCCATGAGAGAGACACGCGAGGTGGCGGCAAGGTGGTACCCCTCATGAGGGACCTCCTCTTCAGATGGGCTCTCGAATGTGAGCAACTTTTTTTTACTTTTGATTTCTTCATTTTGGTCGTTGTCATGCAGTGCATGAATTACAGGCAATTGTGTCTATCAGTAAAATATGTGAGCAAGGCATGTGTACCAAAGAGATATACACAAACAGTATGGCAGGCAATTTTGTTTAGATTGTGGTCCTATATTTAAACTGTTCAACAAAGCTGATGTTTTTCATGCAAATTCCATTACAGATTTTAGACAATACAATGAAATAATAAAACAGGATGTTTCACATTAATAGGGTGATTGGCAAAATTTTGAGGCAAAGTTGGTGTTTGAAGGGCAAGCTGCGAAATAAAGATCAATGCTGAACTAAAAAACGAACTATATAATCTAAACCAATTACTAGCTTTAATATTCATATATAGGCTTTGGTCTGGACTGTGTGAATAAGTATGCAAACATGCAATATGTGGACTCTTGCCCTTATGGCCCATTTGATATGAGTTGGTGACAGTATTAACAACAATAAGTGCAATATATATATAGTATATATATTATAGCAATTAGTGACATATTGTATCTTCTCTGTTGTAGCAATCGGGGTGGTTCTATTCGGCAAGCGAATCGGTTGTTTGTCACTAGAGGGCAGTGCAGACCCTGACACGGATGCTTTCGCCCACGCCGTAAATGATATGTTTACGACGAGCGAACGAGTCGGTTTTCTTCCATTGGCGTTCGTAAAGAGTTTCTACCGTAAAATTTTTGCGAAGCACATGGCATGCTGGGATACGATCTACAGAGTGGGTATGTTGTCACGTTTTCATTGCAGCATTGTTGCGATTTATCCCAAAAATTGAATTGCGATTCTCATGTATCCATTGCAAAGTTTGAAGTTTAAGTCTATTTAGGCACATGTTACTCTCAGTTTAAATAGAAATTTTGAGGCACCAAACTTAGAAAGCAGGGGTCGAATTTTCGTTTTCTCTAGAGCAAGGCAATTGTGGCCTTAATTGGTTTTAATTTGAAATATTAACGTACCACAGTATATTAAACGGCACCAAGGCAAACATATCTATCATAGAAGAGTTAAGGTCATTTACTTTTCAACAAAGCATTATAAGTGGTAAAGGGTATACCAACACCACCTTGAATTGTTGAGAAGCACAGTGAGACTTATCATAGAGGGGCTGTGGCTGTTTAATTCCACAGATATTATTCCATTTTCATGGGCAGCACAGTAAGTAGGAAGGGCAACCATGGCACTTGCGTAGGGGTCGCCGGTAAACTCATGCCCTGCGATCATCAAAACTTTGCATCTTGTTCTTGTTTGCATGAATGCAGCAAAGAAGTACATTGATGCCCAGCTGAATGCGATGGCGGAGGAGGATGGTAAGGAAGAGGAAGCAGGGGGGCTTGTCCGGCAGTTGGCTACGAACAAGGAGCTCACCATTAAACAAGTGTACGCCACCGCTATAGATGTCATGACAGGAGCTGTTGACACGGTAAGATGTAATCAAGGTATTAAACGTTGGCAGCAACAGACAGCTGTAGCAAAACTGAAGTATCCAGTTCATCATAATATTGTAGTAAGGTCAGACTTGTGTTAGCTGAGCACCTCAGTAGAACAAAACCCTGCTTAAATTTTGGTCAGTGTTACAGTGAAACCATCTATAGAATAGTCACCAGTCTGTAAAAGACATAAGTTTCCCTTTAATGATAAACATTGAAAGCACCCCTGTAGTGTGGACACAAGTCTATAACGAACACTTGTGGCTTCTCTGCACAGACGGTTTGGATTGTACATTGTTCATGTTCGCTTTCAGACGACGACCGCATTCCAGTGGTGCCTGTATGAGCTTGCTCGCAATCCAGATGTGCAGGAGAGACTGTACGCAGAGTTGGTCAGGGTTGTCCCAGATGGCAGGCGGGAACAGATCACTCAGAAACACCTTATCGATCTTCACTACCTGAAAGCATGTGTTAAAGAGACCCTCAGGTAGATTTCCTTCACTCCATTAGTTAAGGGGTCATAAGTTATCCGGTTGTACTTCCATGTAGCGCACTTTTGTACTGCAACACTGATATTTTGTTATGTGTTTACATGGTGTTTTCAGTCAATATGTGTCAGTAACCATGTTCTGATGTAAAATAGCGGATGGTGTTTATGTCATGTTTGTTATTGTAAAGTGTTTTTGTAAGTAATTTTTTTCCCCACTTGAGTTCCAGACCCACCATAGATAGTGTTTTGTAATATATGGTTCGTATATATATAGTTGGATTATAGTTAGTGTTAGGGTTCGGTTACGTGTTGGGGTTAGGGTTAGGTATAGTGTGTATTCATTTTACATTGTTGCTTCGAGGAAGTCGAGTGAATGGAGTGCGCTGATTGGCTGTGGTCCGGAACTGAAGTGGGAAATTTTTTTTAGCCGTCCAGAGTTTGTAAGTGTGTTTCATTGTCTGCACATTGTACGGTGTGTGTATATATACTATATAAATTCATATATATATATATATATACATTTATATATATGCATATATACATATATTACATATTTGTGTAATTATAGATATTGCCCAATTTGTATGTGACGATATTAATAGCAATTACTATGTGCAGGTTGTATCAGATAGCTGGAGGATACAATCGCGTATTGGATCAAGATACCGTGATTAGGGGATACAAGCTCCCTAAAGGGGTGAGAGAATAGTAAAATATGGTCACACTTAGCTAGACATGCCTACCTCTGGTGTTAATCAGCACTCAGCAGCCAATGAAAGCTAGTGTCATGATGTCAAATTAATCACATAGTGTGACACAAATGGTTTTATGAATGCGTAACGATGATACGATATATATTGCATTGTGTATCGAGAAGTTTTTAGTGGTTGAGATGCCTTTGAAATCCGAGGTTACTCCACCTGTGCTGCACTCTCATTTATTCCAATTATTTGTCATGCACGTGCAAAGTAACATATAATTAATAAGATCATTTTTGCATTTGTTTGTTTGTAAAATGCTTATTATTCATGAAATAACTTGCGTAAAAACTGCGTAGTATAAAAATGTGTTTTGCATGCGTATGCACAGACTGTAATAGCGGGAGCAACGCCGAATCTCTGCCGGGATTCAAACTACTTTGAGGATGCGGGGGAATTCAAGCCGGAGCGTTGGCTTCGGGATGCTTCCGGACGGAAGCAGGAGACTCATCCCTTCGCATACCTGCCTTTCGGATTCGGCACGAGGTCGTGCGTCGGTCGCAGGTTCGCGGAACTGGAGATGCATCTTCTCCTGGGGCAGGTGCGTTCGTCTGTCCATCCATCTTAAGAAACGTGAATACAAGCACGCTCAATGAAGCTTCACTACAGGTTAAAGACGTAAAAGTGTAAAAAAAAATTCTCCTTGATAAGTGATGGCCAGTGTAGTGAAGGTATTATGGTTTTCTGGGTGAAATCGTGAATAATGTTTATAACAGATCTTTATCTTTGCAAGTTCATGGGCTTTCTGGCTGTTGGTTGGGGTGGGGTGCTTTTAGCAAGGTTAGACAGCAAGTAACATTAAAATACTTGATGAATAGGCAATAATATGATCTTTTCTTTTCCAACTTCTTCAAAGTTCGCAGGCTACGTCAGTTTGACAGCAGATCTGTTTGTCCGAATAATTGAAAGCATCTATTGTGATTTCTTCTCTGGTCTTATCGTCTACGCATGCCACAATTAGTACACCCTGTCCCTCTTCCCTTCCTGACTGCTACCGACTTGTAACACCCTTTGCTCTTCTCCCCTATTCTGCCTCGTGGCTATAACATACCCAACTGTAGTTGTACACGCTTTCTCTTCCTAATTCATGCATATTGGCACAACATACCGTCAAATTGTACACTTCTCTTCTATTCTGCCCAATTCACACATACTCAACTGTACCCCTTCTCTCTCCTATTCTCGCATATATCTACACAACCTCAACTTGTCAAGCCCTTCTCTCTCTGTCCATATCTGCACATGCCTACACAATACCTCAACTTGTACACCCTTTCTCTCTTCCTATCTGCAAATGTGCTACACATACCTCAACTTGTACACCCCTTCTCTCTCCTATTCTGCAAATGTGCTACACATACCTCAACTTTACACCCTTACTCTCTCCTGTCTGCTGCAAATGTTCTACAACATACATCAACTTCGTACACCCTTTCTCTCTCTATCTGCAAATGTCGCTACACATACCTCAACTATGTACACCTTTCTCTCTCATATCTGCAAATTGCGACATCATACCTCAACTGTAACACTGCTTCTCTCTCTTATTCTGTGCAAATGTGGCTACACAATACCTCAATACTTGTACACCTTTGCCTCTCCTGTTCTGCAAAATTGCTACACATACCTCAAACTGTACACCCTTTTCTCTCTCCTATTCTGTCATAATTTGCTAACACACCATACCTCAACAGTAAACACCCTGTCCCTCTTTTTTGGTCAGTACTGTGCGGCAGTTCATTGAGGCAGGCCACCGCAGCTGGATGTGAATAAACATACGCTGCTACTACTCCCAGCAACGTTCGTTACATCGAACTGTCTACAATCGACAAACGAGACAGAGAAGCGCACAAGACCTTCACAGCTGAGCTTCAGATCCCTAACGAGCCCAAGTGATGACGTCAGGCGGTGAACATGACAACAGACCTATGGTCTAACAATCATATGCTCTGGAACATTAACTGCGTCGGTTTGTACCGCGATGTAACCATCATCGTAGAGTCATTAATCAATTTTTATATATTTCGAAGGATGGAATTAAAAAACAATGAAAAAAATATAAATAATAATTAAAAAAAAACTAATAATAATAAAATAAAACAATAATTAATTACAATATGTAAATACGACTTGCAAACCCCGATGCTTTACAGCTGTCTGCAGTCAGCACAGCACTCGTGTTTTACGTACGTACTAACATTTCACAGCAGTTAATGAATGGAGCCATGGTTGTAGAACATGTCGTTGTCATGACACCGTGATGTCACACTTCGGTACGCTATAGTTCTGTTTGTCTCAACGAGTGAGAAAACCACGGCCCTTACTTGAATATTGTTGCTAGTTGTGTTGAAGGTAGATGTGGTTTGTCAGGTTAACATGCCAAAATGTGTAGCTTTTATGCACTTCGTACGTTTCTACGCAGTGTTTTTAGAACGTCCATTCGCAAAAATGATTAGCCTAGGGTGCCTGTTATTTACGAAAGTCGGAATGGTAAATTACCATGTTGAAGGCAAATGATATATCTCAGCAGCATGGCTTTGGTTCGGATTAAATTCCGTGGCGGTTTTACGTGGACACGTGTGGACAAATCATTTTTTGTAGTTCAGCTTTACTTGTCTTTATGCCTGTATAAATCACTGTCAGATAGGTCATTCCAAGACGTTGTGATTCTGTAATTGAGAGATGAATGTGGTTAACTCAAACAAATTGTTTCGTTTAAGGTTTGTAGATCATCTTGATTCATTTATGTGATGTGTTGCTAATAATTAGCATTCTTTCCTTCGCGATACAACAAAACATTGTTTGTTTATAAAAGTGCATTGTTGTTTGCGTATAAATTTATCCGATCCATCGAGACAATCTTACCCCCTGCGTTATTGCTGCTCAGTCAAGCTGGACTTGTTTGGATGTATTTCTCAAAAATGTTTGTGCATACACTCCAATATTTTAGCTTTGCAGCACTTCGTTGCAAAGCATTGTCTTATTATAATGTGGTATTGTAAGAGTGATTGGATAAAGCTGTTCGTTTATAATTTCAGGTGTTTTAGATCAATTTCAAACGTTGTGACAACCTTCCATATATAGCATACAACTCCTATAGCATCCTATAGGTTGGTCCATGGATTTTAATAACTAATAAATGTACTTATTTTTAATAAAAAGTAATGGTAGAGCTACAGTCTACCTAACAGATTAAAGTTTGATCATATAGTATATTAAAGTCATTGAATTTAGAGTCTTATTATATTTTTAATAGTAATAAATGTTTTGATATGATTGATTATTAATCAGAAGTTATTTACACTGTAAATTATATTATTATTGTTGCCTAGTACTATAGTACTAGTATACTTATAGTACATAGTACTATAATATTGGTTTACATAATGGTATAGTTAATGCCTATAATATGATCAGGAGTGAATAAACACAAATTTATTTTTATTCACTCATCTTATTGACGCGCCATATATTCACCATTCACTCATCATATCACGCACCAGGGAATGCAATAAATTTTTGTATTATTCTGATCAATTGAAATAAATGTTGTTTTTATGGTATCACAGCATTATGTAGCAGTTTTGCTTTATGCATGGCAGTTTCTTCATGAATCAATGAAGGAATTAACGAATGAATGATTCATTGTATTATACAGTTGCGTATTATTTTCAATTTTTTTACTGTTATATATATATATGGGGATGGATGTAGGATAACTCCTCTTCATTGTAAATGCATAATTTTTGGAAATAATATACTTCTCGGGAGATATTTTGCGCTGGCGCGAGAACCGTTTCAGGCGTGCAGTACGGACTAAAGACAACTGCATAATATAGCTTGCTGAGGGGGAGAGGGGTGGGAGACTGAGGAAAGGCGGCAGGGAAGATAGCTGGGGGCGGTAGAAGTGCGCAAGATATTGCGCATGCGCTAATTAACACACTAACGTAGCCAGATTGTGTACTGGCTGGTATACGCAGCAGGGACCTTACATGCAAGGTCTTCCTCCAATTTCTTAAATGATGTCATCTGATGGAATATTATCATATAAATCTATCCTAGGATAACTCCTCTTCATTTTAAATGCATAATCTTTGCAAAATACGATTGCTCTCGGGAGATATTGCGCATGCGCGCGCACCGTGTTAGGCATTCAGTGCCGTCAGATCAAAACTTCATAATATAGCTTGCTGCTGGGGAGAGGGGATGGGAGACTGAGGAAAGGTGGCAGGCAAGCTAGCTGGGGGCGGTAGAAGAAGGAGGCTGAGCGAGGGACAGGGGAGGCATGGGAATGGACGTGAGGGCATAAAGTAGGTGTTTTGTACCCTACATGCTAGGGCGCCCTCCTTATTATAAACACAGATCTATTAATAAAGGTTTATTAGGAAAATCTATGCTGAGATATCCCCTAACCATTTTAAATGTATATTCATCACAAAATATAATTCATCTGGTGCGATATTGCGCATGCGCTAACACACTAACGCAGCCAGATTGTGTACTGGCTGGTATATACGCAGCAGGGACCTTACATGCAAGGTCTTTCTCCGATTTCTTAAATGATGTCAACTGATGGAATATTATCATATAAATCTATCCTAGGATAACTCCTCTTTATTTTAAATGCATAATCTTTGCAAAATACGATTTCTCACGGGAGATATTGCGCATGCGCGCGCACGGTGTTAGGCGTGCAGTGCCGTCTGAGGCAAACTTCATAATATAGCTTGCTGCGGGGGAGAGGGGATGGGAGACTGAGGAATGGCTGCAGAGAACATAGCTGGGGCGGTAAAATAAGAAGGAGGTTGAGCGGTGGGGACAGGGGAGGCAAGGAGAAGGACGCGAGGGCATAAAGTAGGTGGTGTTTTGTATCCTACATGCTAGGGCGCTCTCCTAATTATAAACACAGGTCTACTGATAACGGTTTATTAAGGAAATCTATGCTGAGGTACCCCCTAACCATTTTAAAAGCATATTCGACACAAAATATAACTCCTCTGGTGAGATATTGCGCATATGCTAACACACTAACGTAGCCAGATTGTGTACTGGCTGGTATACCCAGCGGGGACCTTACATGCAAGGTCTTCCTCCGATTTCTTTAATGATGTCAACTGATGGAATGTTATTATATAAATCTATGCTAAGATAACTCCTCTTCATTTTAAATGCATAATCTTTGCAAAATACGATTGCTCTCGGAAGATATTGCGCATGCGCGCGCACCGTGTTAGGCGTGCAGTGCTGTCTGAAGCAATCTTCATAATATAACTTGCTGGGGGAGAGAAGGGTGGGAGTCCGA